AAAGTATTTCAAATCATATGTTTTGGTTTTTAGTATTTATTTTTTAGTTGTAGTTGGACATACTACCTTTATTTTATTTTCATATGGTGCTGAGGATCAAACCCCAGGCCTCACACATGCTAGGCAAATGCTCTACCACTGAGCCACAACCACAGCCCCTCAAGTCATATAGTTTTTAAAAGAACACTTTAAAAGTTATGTAAGTAGTTACCAATCTAATTGCTTTTTAATTAGCTAAAATTGTTGCCCTCCATTTTAAAATTCACATTCTACTAATAATCAACAACCCAGGATACTCTTCAAAGAAAAAAATATTACTTTTTTGGAGAATGTATAACTGTGTGGGAGTACACATATATATTATCCCATCTATATAATTTTCATACTTTCCCCAATACTTTTTACTGCAGCATTGTTTATAATAGCAAAGACTAGGAAAACAAAGGTGTCCCATTCAATGAAGATTTAAACTACGGATAGGCATGAGTAATCCACTTCCTCTGCTTATCTTCTCAAGTTCCAATGGTCTTTCTTTACTCATCTTCAATTTCTCCTGCTATTGAACTTTTCTAGGCTCACAAATAATCTAGTCACTCCCATTCTCTACCTTCTACCATGCAAACCTCCACCTCCACCTCAAGTTATTCTTTTACTCTCCTCCCACCATAACCACCTTTCTTGAGCAGGCTATCCTTGCCATGATCTTCTTTTACAATTCACATTCATTCCTATTACTGGCCCTGCAACTCAAACTGTTTAAACCTACACCTGAAAATTTACAAATTCAGTCTCATTCTGCTTGACTTCTGTATACCAACTGATCTTGGAGACAACTCCTTCTATTCGCTTATCCCTGACTGCCAGGGATGAAGTTCTTACTACAACCCCTGACAATGCCCTTCTCTTCCTGAGCATTCTTCTCTTCTCCATTCCAGCTGCCCCTCCCCCCAAACACACACACACACACACACACACACACACACACACACACAAGCCCGCACACGCACACGCGCGCGCACCCACACACGATGCTTTCCTTACTTGCTCAGGTTCTGAAGCCCTCTGCCTGGCCCCTTTGCTTGGGTAGGTTCTTTCATCCTGCTTAGGATTTCACACCCCAAAGCCAGGCTGCCCCACTGCAGGGGTGTCCTTTAACTGCTGGGCCCCACATGGAAACCCACCTAACCTTGCTTGAGTTATAATGCTTGCTCCACCCTGCCCCACCTTACAGACACCAACCTTGCTCTGCACTACCTACTGGCTTTGGGACTGAATTGTGCAGAAAGGAACGGGTAACGGAAGATAAAGCAATACTACATCATTAGAGCTTTATAGTAGGTTTTAATATTTGGCAAGGCAAGTTCCTATGCTACTTCTTCAGGTTTGTCTTGGTTACATTTGACCTTTTGTTCTCTGATTTCTTCTTGTTTTGGCATCTTATTCATGAATATAATTCAGTTCCATTAAAAAAACAAAACAAAATATCTCATCCCAACAATTTTTTTTGCCCATCCCCACCCTTAGGACTTAAAACAACAACAGCAGCAGCAAATTTGGTCATTTGATGTCTATTCTATCAGAAGTCCCCCAGTAAAAAATTTCTTTTAATGATACAACATATGTAAAACTCCTTTCTTTCTACTTTGAACTAATCTTAAAGCTCAATTTGACAATCATCAATAGAGTATCAAGTGAGGCTTCATGCAAGCTGGCCTTGAAAGAGGGTATTTCTCCTGGTAGGCAAACTAGGAAGAAAATTATTGAATACAGTCTTGAGTCAGGGAGGAATCAAGGTTGGAGATTCAAATTTGTGAACACCCACATGTAGATGACATTCGCAGACATGGAACTTGACTTACCTAGATTAAGAGATGGTCTGAGTTATGTGCCCTGTGATATTCTAACATTTAGAGGACAAAAAGTAGAAGAAACCATCAGGGGAAAAGGGGCAGGAAAAAAAACAATGAGAGGGGGTGGTTGTATCCTGGAAGCAAACTGGAAGAAACTTTTCAAGAAGTTTAATGTATCTGAATGCTGCTAACAAGGTAAGGCCAGAGAATCTTCTACTAGACTTGGAAAGAGGGATGTTTTAGGAAACCTTTGACAAAAGGGATGTTGGTACAGGAGATAGGACTCAAAAATCTGAGATGAACCAGACAAAGAAAAATACAACAAAACTTCAAACACACAAGTATGTCTCCAGCCCAGGGTCTTACAGTTGCTATCTCATCTTCCTCACACACTTATTTCTCCAGACCATTCCATACACCTACCTGCACATCCCCATGCCGTCACTCTAAAATAAACACCTTTCCCTACTGACTACTCTCTAGCTTACCTTGCTTTCTTAATAGCACTTAACAATACTTGCAGTGCTATTATTTAACTTATGTTTACTTGTTTGTTGATTTCCACAGAATGTGATAAATCAAGAAATATGTATAAATTCTTTTTTTTAAGAAGTTTCTAGGCACATATCATTCCTAGAAAACCCACTGAATTATTTATAATCTCACTAACCACAAGGCTCCCACAATGGGAAATTTCAATATAGCAACAAAGATAGTCCGTAACTTTATAGTCTCCTTTATTGTTTTTTTTTTCCTCTACAAAGTTTTCTAATATTTTGTTCTCCATTTCCTTAACTCATGTGGTTTTATTACAGAATATTTTCACCTTAAACTTATTTACCGAAAGAGTGCTAGTAAAATGAATGTTAATTATAATTTTAACTTTTGATATTTTTCCCATTTATTTTAATGCCTCAAACATAGCTAGTTCATCCCCAAAGTTCTCAGGAGAAATGAGAATAGCAGGATATTTTAAATTAGAGATAGTCTAGTTCAATTCCTGAATCACATGGAAGCCAAGATGAGAGAGTATGTGACATGCCTGGGATAGGGTCTACCAGTAAATTCAGTCCTTGTCACTTAGGCCTTGGTAAAGTTAGAGAAAAACATCTGATTATAAGGGTTTAGGCGAAAAATAAAATAAGTCCTAATTATTAATAAGCATATTTTGCAAACAGGACTTGTGCCATTTTACAATGTACCATCTTGTTCCTGAAAACTGTTAGCTTTAAAATAGTTGCCATATGCTATGTGTGTGTATGTATGTATGTATGTATGTGTGTGTGTGTAGATATCTATATCTATATCTATCTATCTATCTATATATATATATAATTTTTCTGTAAAGATGGACACGATATCTTTATTTATTTTATTTTTTATGTGGCACTGAGGATCAAACCCAATGCCTCATGTGTGTGAAGCAAGCTCTCTACCGCTGAGCTATAACCCCAGCCCCCGGTATATATTTTTGATATACTAAAAGTATCCCTCCTACTTAATTTTGTTTTGGGAAAGGGGATATGGCAAGTGGGCGATGGGTATTTTGAAAATCTACTAAACCTACAGGCAGGCTAAAAAAAGCCAGTATGGCTGTGGGAGTAAAAACTGAGAGTGTTTCCTAGTGTTTCCACAGTGGAGTAATATTAAACATAATTGGCTTCTAACAAATTGAGCAAGAAGGGGGAAAAAATGGGGCAAACCTTAATGTTTAAAATATTTTTAAATGGGACAAGAGCTACCAAATATTTGCTATGTGCTTACTGTTTTAAGAACATTCCAAAGGTCAACAGCATTAGTTTGAATGTTTCTACCAACTGAAGCTGAGAGAAAAACCATTTTATCCTAAAAGATACTTTCTAACATTTAAAACATAAAATTCATTAGAAAAACATGTTCTCAGTACACATTCATATATTGTCTATAATATGCTAGCTATACATTTTTCCAAGTGCCAGGGATACAGATGAAATTTATGTTCTCAGTGGAGAGAATATAGTAAAGTAAACAATGTGAGGGAGCAGTGATGCATACCTTTAATCTTACCTAATAAGCACTAAGAATCACAAGTTCAAGACCCTGTTCTCAAAAAATCAAATAAAAAGGGCTAGAGGTGTAGCTCAGTGTTAGTATGCATAGTATGCATGAGGCCCTGGGTTCAATCCCCAGTTGGGGGGAAATGGAGAAGGATAAACAAGTAAATGACAGTATTTTAGAAGATAGTGAGTGATATCTTTAAGTACTAAGGTCATGATAAGGATTATGAAAAAAATACAGCATGAAAAGGAAATTATATACAACTAATTCATTTGTATTCAAAACAAATGGCCTGTTTGCATCACAGAGAGTTGATTATATAATGTAACAAGGCATTTTTATAATCAATATTCCTTTCATAAATGTCCTATTTTATAAAATATAGAACTTTAAATTTTTGTTTATTTTCTGAAACAGGGTCTCATTATGCTGCACAGGCTGGTCTCAAACTCCTGGGCTCAGGTTACCCTCTTGACTCAGCCTCCTGAGTAGCACAGGTTACAGGTGTCACCATCAGCCCAGTTACAATGCACTTTTGTACATTACTTTATAAAGTGGTTTGAGAAAGTAACAGTGGTTTGTTTTTACATCTTTTCTTTTCTCGTGATGAACACGACCTTGAGCATGTTAGGCAAGTGTTCTACCACTGAGCTATACCTTTGGCCCTTGTTTTGTTTTTAGAATGAAGCCCTACTAAATTATCAAGTTTCTACCAGTGAACCAAGGATTTTGGGTGACAATGATTTTTAACTATAAAAAACATAATGAGGGGCTGGGGTTGTGGCTCAGCAGTACAGTGCTCACCTAGCACATGCGAGGCCCTGGATTTGATCCTCAGCATACTAAAATTAAAAAATAAAATAAAAATAAAGGTATTGTGTTCAACTACAACTAAAAAATAAATATTAAAAAAATGAGGTTCATTAATCATCCCACCCTAAATTCATATTATGTATGTAGCCTAAACCAAATAGAAATTAATTTTGTTATTACTAATAAAGATATAACAATGTTTAACCTTGTTTTTCTATGCAACTTGAAATAGGATGATAGAAAACTAACCCTGGAAAGAGCTCATTTCTAACTTAAATATTTCCACAAAATAAAGCTTACCTTCAGACTGGTATGAGAACGTGGTTGACTTAATTCTTGAAATTTCCATTGCTCTGATCCTGGGGTCTCACCTCCTTTCTGAGTGTCAGGTGTAAGCAATCCATCTCCAGCAGGTAATGGAAAAATTCCTAAGGATATAGGGCGTTCTTTTCTATTTGGAGAGGGGAGAAAAAAATTAGCAATAATTTATTTTTATTGATCATGACTACAAGTCATAAACCTGAATTGTCACTGCTTTGGGATTGATCCTCTTAAATAATATTGTCTGTCCATTTGAACAGGTAGACCTACCAAGGAGAAAGGACACTTTCAGAAGTTTAAATTCGTTCTCAAAAATTAACTAAGAAGAGTGTCAAGAAACTGTTTAGAAAATCTCACATGTTACTGATAAGATTCTTGCCCAGAATGCAGTGTTCTGGTCTGGTGAGTTTTTAATCATGCTTAGAGTAGCAATAGGTGGATGCACAACCTCCTCCTTTGGAACTGAGCCCAACTCCTGCACTTAGACTTTCCAAATCCTCACACTAATCCCTGCATGTTTACTGAAGCCTTTTCAAGGTATCCTTTTTGGTCTAGAGGAAAATCATTACATTATTTGAATCATAGCTAGTGATTAAATGGTAAAAAAGAACTCCCTAAAAAAGCAGGAAGTTCTTCCTTCCTTCCTTCTTTCTTTTTTTTTTTTTTTAACTGAGGATTAAACTCAGGGTCACTCTACCACTGAACTGAGCCACATCCCCAGTCCTTTAATGTTGTTGCATTTTAAAATTTTGAGACAGGGTCTCAAATTGATCTTCCTGCCTCAGCCTTGATTACAGCTGTATTATAGGCATGAGCCACCAAACCTGAGTGAAATTCTATTATTCTACAGATCACTATACGAATTCCTTATAGGCACAGTACATATGAGAAAAAAACTATTGTCATTTTTTTTTTCAAGGAGCCAAAAGAATTCTATAAAACTCTTGACTTTCCAATGCTCTTGTTAAAGTATAACAAGAGTTATACTTTTAATAGAATTTCAACAAGAAACACATCTTGTGTTAATGTACAAAAAGTTCCAAATGAAGTGTTTTTAGAGGGTGGAAACAAGTCTACTAACAAGTCATCCTGGGTTGTTAATTAAAAACACTAAAGATTTAGTGTCTCCCAGAACCACTACCTCTACTAGTAAGAAAGTAGAAGCTGGGCTAGGTGGCACACACCTGTAATACCAGCAACTCAGGAGGCTGAGGGAGGAGGATCCCAAGTTCAAAGCCATAATCAGCAACTTAGCAAGGCCCTAAGCAACTTAGCAAGACTGTGTCTCAATATGAAAAAATAAAACAGGGCTAGGGATGTGGCTGAGTGGTTAAGTGCCCTGGGTTGAATCCCCAGTACCAAAATAAATAAATAAACAATTAAATAAAGTAGGTTGGAACAGAAACAATAAGGTTATAAATAAAATCAGGAAACATTTTAGTTGGCTAAATAAGTCTTTTATTTTGTAAGTTCATTTTTATAAAAATTTAAGTTTTGAAACCTGCCCTTACTTAATATAAAGGGTATGTCAGAATGCTGCCTTTTTCTTTTCTTTTTTGCAGTGCTAGGGATTGAACCCAGGGGCATTTTACCACTGAGCTATGATCTGAGTCCTTTTTATTTTGAGATAGGGTCTCCCTAAGTTGTCCAGGCTGACCTTGAATTTGAGATCCTCCTGTCTCAGTCTCCCTAGTCACTGGGTCACAGCCACCAAGCCCAGCTTCAGAATGCCTTCTTAAAGATTAAGTGAGAGCCAGCATGATGGCACACACCTGTTAATCCCAGTGGTTTGGGGGGCTGAGACAGGAGGATAGAAAGTTCAAAGCCAGCCTCAGCAACAGCTAGGCACTAAGCAACTCAATGAGACCCTCTCTCTTAATAAAATACAAAATAGGACTGGGGATGTGATTCAGTGGTCGAGTGCCCCTGAGTTCAATCCCCAATACCAAAAAAAAAAAAAAAAAAAAAATTTAAGTGAAGTAAAAGGGTTGAGAGATTGCATTTTATCAATGTTACATGCATAAAGAAATATAATAAATTTTAAAAATAGAAGTTTCCCTTATCAAAGTTAATTATTCATCACTTCTTTACACTTGTAATACTTTTTCCTATTTGATCTGGGAAAACAATTCAAATACAGGTAAACAGCACAATAAAAGATTAGATTTTAATACCAAATCTAAGTTTGTAACTAAGAGCTGCCAGAATAACCAGATGATAAAAATTAAAGTCAGCTAGTCTGTTTACATCAGTTATTCTCAGAAGTTGGTCAGCAACAAAATTTTCTTAAGTCAATGACAAAAAAAAGGCATCACTGATTATTCCTTAGTGGTAAATATAGCACATATCATACATGTACACATTTCCATGCAACTCAGAGAACCTGTTCTTTTTGGAGAATGACTGAACCTTATTTTAAACTACATCTTTTCTGCTTCTTTGATCTTAAAATGCCCTTTCTTTCATTACATGATGGTGACTGTTGTTAGGAGCTAGATTTTTTTTCTTCATGTCCATACCTGAACAAAATGAAAATTTGTCAATTTGATGTTTATCCCAATTTTGGGGAACATATTTTGGGAACAGAAAATATAAGGTTCTAAGAAATACTAGTTGGACCTTTATTTATTCTCTAACATACCTTAATGCCTACATATAAAGTGGGAATTGATGGGCTGGTGTTATGGCTCAGTGGTAGAGTGTTTGCCTTGCACATGTGAGGCACTGGGTTCAATCCTCAGCACAATATAAAAATAAATAAATAAAATATAGGTATTGTGTCAATTTACAACTAAAATAGTTAAAAAAGAAAGAAAGAAGGTGGAAATTGAGTTTGGCTGAGTCTAAGGGAAAGCTCTCTAACCTAAGATGCAAAGATAATATACGAAGATCATATAGGCCTCATGCAAATCCATCACACTGCTAACAAAAAACAAAATAGAAATCAGTCATTAGAATTATCTTCCTAAATGAAAGCCAACAATTCATTTTTCAAATGTACCAAATACTGAAAAAGTTTAAAACTACCGGGGAAAGGAGTCTTCTATGAGTCCAATTTGTACTTTCCTATTAAATCTATAATCAAAAATAATGGTAGAATTCCCACCTTTTTAGTTTTGCTTTTATTAGTCATTCAGAAACTACTCTGTAGAAAGGAGTCTTTTCAGAGACTCAGAGCAATCTGTCAAGAGCATCAACAATGCTCTGGGTTACAAAGTTCCAACTCTGGAAAAATAATATTACTACATACTCTCATTTTACTGAAAAACTACACAAGAATTGAGAGAGGGAACTATGTAACTATGAACCATGTAACCATGCAAGTTCATCAGAATCCTACTTTTGAAAAGAAATTCTAAAAGGCAAATATTAGTCCTGTATTATGTTGGTACATGTGTGTTTGCTAATCTATGTGTTAAATGCTTCAGTAAAATTCACAGAAGAAATTCAACCAAAGAATGGGAGATATGTGGAAAAATACTAAGTTGCAGATTTAAGCCCCTACATTGAAACATCTGTTGTCACCGTCTAGTAATATTACTGTCTAATAGAAACAAAGGTATCATCAACTATCAAAATCCTTATGATATATTTTTTAAAAGTGCTTTACTTCCACATATCCCTTTTTAAGATGGTTATTTAAATGTTAACTTTTTTTGGTTTTGTTTTTTGGTACTGAGGACTGAACCCAGTGATGCTTTATTACTGAACTACATCCCCAGACTTTTTTATTTTAAAAGAGGTCTAAGTTGCTAAGGAAATCCCTAAATTGCATTATACTTGTACATAATGATGGGATTTGTTGTTACATATTCATACATGCATACAATATAACAATATAATTTTGGTCTCTAGCTTTCGATCCTTCTACCTCAGCCTCCCAAATTGCCCAGATTACAAGCATATGACATGATACCTGGCTAACTGTTAGCTTATTTTATAAATGTTTTTGAAGTAATTTTTTAGCTATACTCACATTTAATACAACTAATCTAGTAAAATTTACTTTGTAGATAAAGGACAGTAAAAAAAAAAAGATTACATTTTTCGAACACTTGTCATGTGGCAGGTACTGAGCTATATGATTTATTTATATTATCTCATTCAATCCTTACCAGAAAATAGATATTGCTTTCCTAATTTACAGAATAGGAAAAGTGATGCTCTGGGCAGTAGTAAACCGGCAGTGCTGGTAATAAAAGTCAGGCCTATGAACTCCACCACCGTGTGCTTCTTCCCTTGACCTTACTACTTGGTGCTACCTACTTTCTGACAATGTAACCTTAATATTGAAGACTATTATCTTTAGTCAAATCAATTTTGTGTCATGCAGCTTTTAAAATTTAATCATAAAGTATTGTATGAATAAAACAGCTGGAATTTGAACAGTTCTACTAAAAATGGGATAAAAACATACATATACATATATTAGTTTACCACATATCTTGCAACTATAATTAAAAACAAAATAATAATCTTGCTCAGTTTTTAAAACCACCTAAATGAGGCAATACCTTCAGAAAAGGAAACTCAGACACATAGAAATTAAGCAAATTGCCAAAGGTCCAAGAACTGATCACACGAGGCAGAGCAATTTGTACCCAGGCAGCCCAACTTCAAAGCCTCTCACCCACTGCATAGCACTTGTCTCAAATGGAAGCTAAGACTAAGAAAGCTCCTAAGTATCAGCCTTATTTTAATATTCTACATTTTTTGTAGTTTGAGTATTATTAATTTCCTCAAAACTTAAATATATATATACATATATGTACAAATCTTTTATGTACTAATATATACACAAGTAATGATTGTTCCTGATTTTTATAAATCAGAAAAGAAAGTAAATGACCATGTATACACAAGTAATAAGGCTATTTCTAATTTTTATACATTAGGAAAGAAAACAAGTGATCATGTATCTAGTATTAGGCACAGGTGCAATCTAATTCTGGGCCTTAAACTAAAACATAATATAAACTGGTCTATGAATAAAAGGGAACACTGATAAGAGCTAACTAATTCTTTATTTGTCTAAACCTATAGTTAGGATTTAAATGTTTGTAGCCATTTAAATAATCAATAAAATCTATACAAGATGAACTTTCACTTAAAACCATACCCCAAGCATAAATTTGAGCAAACTGAATACTTGGGAGTTTGATAAACTAAAAAACAAAAGAAATCAAAACCTTAAACCTCTAAGATATAGAAGATAGCTCTTACGGGCTGCAAGTAGAGTGAGCAGCAGCAAAGCTATAGAGATTAATGACTACCCCCACAAGCAGGCACGGATATTTGTCACCCAGGACTACAAAGAGAAGAAAGGGCGACATCTGACAAAACAATAGTGAATAGGCTTTGTAAAGCTTTCACAACTTTGATGTGTAAATAATGGGATAAATGCATTCATTGCTCTAAAAACTTGAAATCCTTTTACTTTAAAATATATAATTTTTTTTGAGGAAAAAGCTATTATTAAAAATGTAAAATGATATCTGAACCTTCATCAGTCAAATGATAATTGATATGTAATAAACTATGGCCTGTGTGTAATTGTTTTCAAGAACCAACATAAAAGATATTTGCCTTTAAATTCAGAAGCTAAATCCAGAGACTGCATAAACTTGGACCAGTGCTCTACTCTTGCTCTCCCTTTACTCTGAACATTCTGCTTAAAATAAGACCACATTGACCTTGTACTTGTGTATAAGTACAATATGAAAATCCTTTTCTTTGGTCCAAAACGCTATTCCTAAGTGGTGACCTATAAATTACTATAAATAAGAATAAACATCCTAGCTTCAGGCCATTTTCCATTGTTTCAATCTGCAACAGAAATGGTTACAAAGCAGATCAGAGTGGCTAAAATTTAAGAAAAACCAGGTAAGCAGGGGCTTCTAAGAGAGACTGGAGTACCTGAGTATCCTTGGCAGGTTCTGCGTCAGAGCTGGCACACCGGTAGAAATAGAAAAGTGCACAAGCAGCAAAACAGAGAGAGACACTAAGATAGCAGAATTAATGACCACCGCCCCGCCAACGAAGCCAAACACAAATAGCAGCATGCATCCAGGACTCATGGCGCTGTGCTGGCATGGTGAAACACCCGAACCAGGAGGCCTACACGGGGGCCAAATGGGTATCTTTGTAGTGAGGATCTGTCATTCAGCTGCTGCCACAAAAACAATGCCATCAGCAGCAGCTTTCCACTCGGTCCTGCAGCGGCTCCCAAATGATGACGTCATTCCGCTCTCCCCACCTAATAACCATAGAGCGGCTGCTCCTACCATTTATGCAGCAACCCAGAGCGACAGCCAGCCTATTAACTATCTTCCTCTCCACTGAGAGTCCTGGCTTAGCTCATTGGATACAATGCCCAGAGATCTACATAATTTATTCACACTCCTACATCAAACAGATGGCTAGCTAACCCCTTCAAACATGCCTCTCTGGACCAAAAAGGTCCAATTTAATGAAGAAATTTAAAATTTCAGCATTCTCGCAAATCAGAAAATTTTAGACCCTGCATAATCTCCATGAAGAATCATAAACATCAAAATACCTCAACATGCTGCTTATAATAGCATGGCTCATAATTTATCTTTTTAATAATGAAAGCTGTTTCTATTTTTCCATGCTATTCTCTCCTACAGCATTCCAGTCACCATGGAGAGCTTTTTGAACCAGCCTAACTATTGTTCCAGGATTAGAGAACACAAAAAACCAGAAACAATCAGATTATTTATTTCGTTTTTTCTCAAGGCAGAATGTCTAACAAAGCTTACCTAATTCTACTATGAGCTGTAGACTCTAGTTGATCACTCCCTGAGAGTTGATGAAGTTTTGTTCTTTCTAAGTGTTCCATATAATTATGGATCATCTATTTAAAGACAGAAAGAAAAAAAATCACAAAATTTAAGACTAATACCTGGAAATAAAAGCATAGTATTATACCAAGGAAAACATTTTTTTGTATAATTTTCTTTTTTATCAGGTTACCCAATTCCATGTTAAAAAAAAAAAAATGAAGGAAATGAAATTTTTTCATGGCAAACGAATATGCTAATGACTATGTTTAAGATGCCAGTGTCCACAGAAGTACCAATATGTTGCTTAACAGGAAAAGAACTTTTTAAATAATAAGTGATGACATTAAGTGAAACAATACTGACATAAGTAATATGAATTGGTATACAGACATTGGGAGGAGGTGATAAGAGACTGCTGATTAAAAATAGATGGCATTTAAGAAACCTATTCACTAAAATGAGAAACAAAACCTGTGAAACTTATATGTTGATCTTTTCCATGTTAAAAGTGATTAATAGCGTAAAGATCATTTCTGTTTAGTTAAACAATTCAAATATTAAATATCAAAATATTTCTGGTTTCTGTAGATTTAGTTGAAAGAAAGCTAAAAAATATTTCTACTATGAGCTGCAGACTCTAGTTGATCATTTATTGGTCATTACTTAATATAATTATCTATGTTAATAATAGTTAACAAATGAAAAAATCAGAACACCATAAGTCTTAGGTAAGAAACCGTATAATAGTAAAGCTGAATATGAAAGTGAAAATTTGAAAAATATAAAGTACATAAACTGGCGCTGGTGATGTAACTCAACAGCAAAATGCTTGTCCAACATGGACCAAGCCCTATGTTCAATTCCCAGAACTGCAAAACCAACAACTACCAAAACAACAAATAAAGTACATGAACTGTTAAGAAATGCTAATAGTCTATTTGATTCTTGATAATCTACACTTCCACTTTTCAGGATACTAAATCTGAAATTAAGACATAAAAATTGGCAAAAAATTTCAATCATTTACTTATTTTTTAGTTTTCGTTGGACACAATACCCTTGTTTTATTTATTTATTTTTATGTGGTGCTGAGGATCGAACTCAGGGCCTTGCATGCGCTAGGCAAGTGCTATACCACTGAGCCACAACCCCAGCCCCTCAAACATTTATTTTTATTGTGAAAATTCTACTTAGTATGTATAAAAATTTCAAAATATGTTAATTTTAAGGTGCTAATTATTATCAAATAAGATGTATTCTGATACATGAAATAAAATAAGTAATTTTATTAAAGGAAATGTAATAAAAAAATGAATCAGAATGTTCCTCAATTAAGACTAGTCCAGGGTTGGGGTTGTAGCTCAGTGGAAGAGTACTTGCCTAGCAGTATGAGGCACTGGGTTCAATCCTCAGCATCACATAAAAATAAATAAAATAAAGGCATTGTGTCCATCTACAACTAAAAAAAAAAAAAAAGGACCTAGTCCAAACAGAAAATGTCAGAAGCAAAAGACACAGAATCACAGATACGGTATGTGAAAACATTTTAACCTTAAATTTACATAATTTTAATTCTAAACTTACAGGTTTTCTCTTTACTTCCATTTTAAGAACAATTTTGCAGAAATGCAGCTATTATTTTTGTGTCAGCAAGTCAGAAATAATGAGCTGTTTTCTTCTTTTATCAGGTAGAACTTTCAGGGGAAAAAAAACTCTCACAAATAGCTCATTCTAGATTGATACTTTTGCTTTAAATGCTTAAATAAAGATTTAAATTTTAGAAAATGCTGGATTCTAAACCTTCCTCAAACAACTGACCAAATAATTACAGATATGATATTCTGACATTCCAAAATGGTTCAAATAAGGAAATTAACAACCCAAATAAATTAGCATTTACTGAGAAAGACTAACAACAAAATGGTAGCTATCATTTATTAAGCACCAACTACATGTCAGCCAGTACATTTACAGCCATTTTTCATTTAATCCTCACGATATCACAATTCTATAAACTCCAGCTCTGGGTTAAAACAACTTGCCCAAATTGATAAACTGGCTAATGATTAACTGTTTTAAGGACAAATCTCAGGTCTGTTTGACTCAGTCATCTGAGCAGTTAAGCACTGTAAGACTCATGCTATATCTGCCCTTTTAGTTGATTCATTAAGCAAGCAATGAGCCCATTGTCCTTTTTCCCTCACACCCACATGAAAACCCCACACCCTAAAGCATTCCCTGATGCCTAAAATAATATACACTATATTCCATGAATGCACAAAAAAGTAGAAAAAATAAATTGTGCTTAAAAATTAAAATTTTAAAATACGGCTTCACTTTAAAAAGTGAGAGGGAGGGTTTGGGATGTGGCTTGGAGGTACAGCGCTTGCCCAGCATGCGTGAGGCACTGGATTTGATCCTCAGCAACACTTAAAATAAAAAATAAAGATATTATGTCCACCTGTAATAATTTTTTTTTAAGGTGAGAGGGAGGGCAAAACCTGTGCTACTAGATAGAAAAGAGACATGAAAAAGTAAAACAGGGCATGCTTTAGATATTCTACAATTGGGTCCATCAGTCTCATCCCTCCTGGTCGCAACTGCATCTCAATTTTCTCAAGATATCCAAATTAATTCATGTATATTTCTGAGTCAATTCAGCAAATAACAGTTGGAGTCATCAACAAGGAACACTGGAATCCTCGTATGGGATGTGTCCCAACTCCTTTTCCTCAGGATATCTTCACAACAGAGACTGACTCAGCATTAGCTAAAACCAAAAAGCAAGGTAATAGTGAAGTTTGGGAGACAAATGACATAGATCTCTATAAACATATTAGTCTTAAGTCTTTCCATATGCAGTCCAAAAATCTCTTAGTTGTTGAGATGTCCTAAAGCAAAGAGGCAACGAAAAATGTCTGGTATGTTTAGCCTATGAAACTTTATAATTGAAAGTTCAGGCAACAGAATCAGACCTGTCTTCAAATTCAGTTAGCATGGGATTTTTGACAAATCACTTAAGTCTCTTTCTAAAAAACTTTAATCTATAAAATAGTGATGGATAATAGTTTGGTCAAAAGATGAAATAAAATGCCAAGGCATGATGGTACATCTGATAATACAAGCAACTTGGGAGGCTGAGGCAGGACGAATCCAAGTTGGAGGCCAGCCTGGGCAACTCAAAATTAAAAAAAAAAAATTTAAAGGGTTGGGGATATAGCACAGTTAACACCCTCTGCGCCCCAGCCTCTCTCTGCATTTAAATATTCCTTGATATGCAAGACCCTCACAGGATTACACAGGGCATGTTTGTGGTCATTAGCTTAAGAGACTACATATGTGGTCCAACTACTTCATAATAACCCTTATTTTTCCTTTGCTGCTCTCCTTAAAGCATGTCTTGAATAAATTTAATAATTTGCACAAAATTTTGATTTAAGAGCAGTTATTCACATTACAAAAAGAGCAATAGTAGGTTTCCCTTAAAGAGTAAATAATGTGTTTGATAAAAGTACTATTTAAACAACTATTTTGTGCCTGTAAAATGTGTAACCTTCTTTGGAAGCAACGGTGAAAAGGTTACAGATTAAACCCTCCAGACTCCCTTTCCCTGAAGATTTCCACAATTTACCTTGAAAGGGCACCTAATTCTTTAAAAAGTTGGAGAGCTATTTATAATTGCTAATTGAATGACATCTCTAGAACAGATGTATAAACACAGAAACTTGTAGGCTAGAGTAGAACAGATCCAAATTTCAAAGCAGCCATGTTGCATGAACAAAGAAAGTCTATCAGAGCAGAAGGCAGTTGTTGCTTTTACTTAAGGAGAGGATCCTCTGAAAAGAGTTATAGGCAGCAAGGAAAAGCTGCCTTGGTTATTGGACAGGTGTAACTCTTGACTTGGATATTAAAGATTTTTTTCAAATTGCTTTTTCTTCTTGGACTGTCCTTCGCTGAAGGCATGAAATGGAAAAATTATTGCATCTTTTCATTTGAAGTCAATGTCACTTTTTTCTGTAGTAATAAATCTTCACTTTTATTAAATATAGGGGGGAAAAATAGGAAATTTCACTTGACAGTTAACCCTTCAAGAATGCATATCCTAGACATACTTCAAATACATAATTTAATAATCTTCAATTATTTGTAGGTTAGAATGTTACTTTAAAAAGCATTATTTGCCAGGTGGGGTGGTGTCCACCTGTAATCCCAGAAACTCAGGAGGCTGAGGGAGGAGGATCACAAGCTTGAGGTCAGCCCTCAGCAATTAGTGATTAAAAAAAAAGTAAAAAACGAAAAGGCCTGGAGATGTAGCTCAGTGGCAAAGCACCCCTGGGTTCAATCCCCAGTTCAGAGAAGAAAAAAAAAAAAAAAAGGCATTATTCATCATTATCAATTTTCTATGATATTTAAGCATGTTCTTCTAAATATAGTTGTAATTACTAACAAGGATAAGCATTATAATACTATGCATAGGACAATGATCAGGCATTAAAATGAATGGTATAAAGAGAATCAACATAGGCTTTTAACAACCAATGTTTTTAATAACAGCTTTAATGTCTACCAAAGATCATATTATTAAAGTGTGGGTATTTTTTTCCATACTGAAAAAGCTCCTGTGTAACCTGTTCCTGCCTTCCCAGAGCTTTATATATGGTTTCCAGACTTTGGTAGTCAATTTCTTCTCTCAACCACTTGATATAAATTCTGTGACATTTCACATTTTGGGTGGGGCTATAAAATGAAGATAATAAAACCTCACCTGTCACGGATAACAGGAAGAAATTCTAACACTCCCAAGAAAGTATCACCTACATTATTCCAAAGCAAAGGAAATTTTAGTGCAATATGATTTTTATGTTCCTTAAAAGCAATAATATAGGTCTCTGCTACAAGCAGGATAGGAAATCACACAAATTAATGAAAGAAAATCAGGCACTAAAGGCTGGAACCAGGACTAGGACTGTAGCTCAGTGGTAGAGCAGGTATTTATTACTGAGTTCAAGGCCCTGGGCTCAAACTCTAGTATCAGTTAAAAGAAAGTAAGAGACTAGAATCATCTGAATCATGGGAAAGACAAGATTAGATGAGGAAAAAGAAATAAAATTTTTTAGTGTAACAAATATTGCACAGACTACGAAAATTCTATTTACCTACGTATGTGAATCCTAGACTGACCATGATAAACAAAAACAATTTTTTGACATTGAAATAAAAAAAATGCTACATATAAAAAACTGACAGAGAATCATAAAAAGAATATTTTAAAGCCCTCAAGTACATTTTCTAATTTGTTTTGGAGAGATTATGTAACTAAACTGTTTATTTAAAATACTGAAAACTCATGCAAAAAAACTTTTAGAATCATTTTAACTTAACATATTTTAATGTTTAGGTTGTCATGAATTTAATGTAACAAAATTACCTTACACTGGATTATAAATGTAGAGATCCTTACCAATAATTTACCAATGCATCATTTTCAAACTGGTAACAAATTGATTTTCTCTTCTCAGTATCATATAATCGTTTTACTACATGCACATAAGTTTTTGCTTAGCCAGCCAAGGAAACAAGTATTAGAACTGTCTTAAATAACTAAATTATTCTGTGGCATGCTAACGCACTACTTGAAAAGTTAATTCCAGATTTTAAAAAAACGAAAAGCAAAGCAGATGTCTGGTATATGCCACATGACATTTAATGTTTTCTAGAAATAACCCCTGCCAGATTCTGATTTTCAAAGAAAAATTAAAACATGCTTTCTAAGGTCTGTTTCTTTGTCTCCACATAAGCACGGTAAGAACAGCCCAGAAACCCACCTCAGTGTGTCTTTGATGTAATGCATTATATTCCTTCTTCAGTTCTGCTTCTCTTTCTTCAAGTCTGCTAACTGAAATTAAGATACATACACTTAATCAAAACCAAATACAAGAAATTTACTTGAAAATGTCTGTCTTAAAAATGTGGAATGGATTATCCATAATGCTTATTAGCAACTTTAAGACTCAGTGCTCCATATGAAATTCTGTACAAAGCAGTGACCTCATTTCATCATCTTTAATAAATAAAACTTTCAGAGATGGAGAATCAGGGGGAAAAAAATTAACAGATTGGTTCTCTTATGTACGTTTATTAGGTCATCCTTCTAAATAGATTTTTATTTTGTTTCTGGTACTGGGGGTTGAACCCAGAGGCTCTTTGCCACTGACCCCAGTCCTTTTTACTTTTTATTTTGAGGTAGATCTCACTAAGTTGTCCCATCCTCCTGCCGCAGCGTCCTGAGTTGCTGGGATGACAGGTGTGTGCCACCACACCCAGCTTTTGAATAGTTGTTGTGGTTTGGGTTTTTTTTTTTTTTTTTTTTTTTTTTGTGGTTGTTGTTTTATTTTGTTGTTGTTTTTTCAAAAACAAACTTCCTTAAGGAAGTTTTAACCAGCAGTTAGGGCCCAAATTCTTATGTTTTATAGTAGTATTCAAGATCCTTTTCAGCACTATCGTGAAAGTATCTTCTAAGTACTCTGCTCCACAAGTCTTCTCAGTTTAAGGGAATTATCTTCTTTTATTTAGCTCCCTCTGCTGATGGATTTTGTGAGTAACAGTGATGCGGAATAGCACAGAATAAAACTTACAATATTAAAACAAAAAAGAAAGCTTTAGAGCCTGAAATAAAGAATATCAGAGCAGGATATTGGGAAAGAATGACTGATAGAAAAGAAGAGTGACTCAGAAGAGGTGAAGTCCAAGTAAGACCACAAAGAAATTATAATACTCAAGACAGATGGTAATGAGAGTGTTCTAGACACTAATACCATAGAGAAAGGAACACAGAACCATGCTGCTGGTGAGGCAAATGGAAGATTGGCCAGTTGGAAGAGGTCACAATGACTAAGGAGTTGTGGGAGATAGTTACTCATCCTTGTGAATCAATATTTTCTTGATAATGTACAACCAAAACAAAAACTTGTTGCTAAGGCTAAAATGAAATCCAATTATCATCCATAAACTTCAATTTCAAATTTGTGTTCATTAGCAAAGCCTCATTATTCTTGTCAGCTAACTTGTTATAACACAAATACATTTATATCATCATTACTATTGCTAACATTATAGACTTTTATATATTTTATATATATATATATATATATATATATATAATTACATTATAGACTACTTATTATGTCCTAACTGTAAATAAACTAACTTATTGAAGTCTGACATTAACCTTATGATAAAAATATCATCATTATATTCATTTTGGAACTAAGGAAACTGAGACAAATAGTGACAAAGGTGATTACTTTATAACAGGAGTCTTGTCCAGAATCTCTGTTCTTAATTACCATGCTATAGAGAATCTCAGCAAACACTCCTTTTAATCTGTTTTATATATTGGAATATACTCTTAATATTTCCCTGAAGGAAGGGCAAAAGCTTCAAACAAAAAACTCCCTGTTCTTGTGGAAATAACCAATTATACATCAAACTGTCAAGCAAAAACACATACTCAATTTTATTAAACATCAGGGAGAAGCACACATTATGATTTGGATGTGATTTGTCCTCCAAGAATTCATGTGTGGAAGCTTTGTTCCCAGGTGGAAACTAGTGAAAAGCCTTTGGGTCACTGGGATGGCTGCCCTTGGAGGAAATTAAGGCAGCTCTCATAGGACCCCTAAGTTTTCATGAGAGCAAGTTGTTATACTAGAGGACCTGACCCCTGAATTTCTCTCTGGCTTCTTGTTTTTGAGATGTAATGTCTTCCTCCTAAACACACTTCTGCCACAGTGACACCATCTGTCATTAGGCCTTCACCAGAGGCTGAACCAATCCTCTTCTCCCCCACTGCTCAATATTGGACTTTGAACTTCCAGAACTGTAAACCCTTTCCTTGTAGTTAGCCTTCCTCAGGTATTTTGTGATAATAATGAAAAACAGAATAATACATTAAAAGCAAACATTGGCTAAAATAAATATAATTCACAAGCACTGATAAAAATGTAGAACAAGTCCAACTTTCATATACTATGATGGGGAGTATTAACTGGTATACACAACCTGAAAACTTTTTTGCAAAACTTAATAAAGTAGAATGTTTGTCAATTCTATGACAAAACAGTATCACTGCTAGGAAGTACACATACGTATCCATCCAAAAGCATTTAAATGTTCAAAGAAGCATTATCCATAATCAACCTGGAAACAATCTAACTATCCATGAACAGCATAAGGGATATTCATGTACTGGAATAGATGGAAAATGAACAAATTATCTCCCACACACATCATGGATGAATATCACAAGCAAGATGTTGAGAGAAGCAGAAATCAAAGAATATAAAATTCAAAGATACACAAAACTAAAGTATTAGAAATCAGGATAGCAGGTACCTTTGGGGAGGAGTTAGTCTCTCGACCATGAATTTATTATGTATGTATGACCCACCCTCCCCCAGTTCAAACATAATATGTATCCAATAACACAGGGGCTTTCCTTGGCTTGAATATTCATTATGTTCATTACCCATTATGCTATGAGTTTAACACGTAGCACAGAATTTAAACAGACTAGCTTAAACATATTGTGCTCTAGGAGTAGTGACATATGCCTGTAATCCCAGTGACTCAGGAGGCTAAGGCAAGAGGACTGCAAATTCCTGTCTCAATAAACAAATAAAAAGGACTGGTTGGTGGCAGAATGCCCTTGGATTCAATCCATAGTACCACAAAAACAAATATAACCAAGTTGTATTGTTCTGATTTCAGGATTCACAGGTAGACAGCAATAGTATTACCAAATTAGAGAAAATATAAAAGGAAACAAAGATGGGTAAGGAAAGATAAACTAGAATTACTTTGTTAAAGGTCATGTTGGTAATTTATATAAGTAATATGTATATCCTTTGAAAATATGTTCTTATTTACCCTACAGATATTTACACTTATGCCCAAAGATATGAAAATGAAGACCTATTGTAACATATCTTATAATGACCTCCAAATTGGAATAACAACCAAATTTGCCATTAGAAGGTTGATCATGAAAATTATGGAAGTCATACAGTATCAATATCATGCAGTGGATTTCCTACTTATTTACCACATGACCACAAGTAAATTAACCTCCCTGGGTCTCAGTTTCCTTGAGCAGTTAACAGTATATCAGAATTGATATTAAGGGCTGGGGTTCTAGCTCAGTGATAGAGGGCATGCCTAGCACATGTGAGGCACTGGGTTCAATCCTCAGCACCACATAAAAATAAATAAAATAAAGATATTGTGTCCAACTACAACTAAAAAATATTTTTTAAAAAAGAATTGATATTAGGTTAATATTTGAAAAGGACAGTCAACAGTGCCTGGCACAAATGTGTTTTTCAAATGAAATACAATAATTAAAGATGCCCTCAAAAGAAATGCATTGTATCTATATATACTGACATGGGATGCTGTTAAGAACTGAACAGAAGGGTGTTGAATATATATTGTAGAAAATTAAAAAAACAAAATACAAAGCCACTAAAATGTCCACAAAACACTAGCTCTTTTCCACACTCTTCTTACTCAAACAAAAATTTTCCTACCTATTCTTTTGCTCTTTTCTTACTCTCATATCACATATTCAATCTATAAACAAATTACTTCCATTCTACCTTCAAAATTAATCTAGAATCTGACTCACTTCCCCCCCACACTTTTTTTTTTTTTTAACCACCTCTGACAAACTTCCATCATGGTCCAAGATATGATCTCTTAATTAGATCATAGCAATTATATACTATCTAGTAGCTCAGCTTAGTTATTGTTCCAGTATATTCTCAAAAAAGTCTGGGTGGAATTGGAGAGTGACTGACTACTTTAAAACCCTTCAATGGTTTCCTGTCAAGTTTAAAAGTGTGTTGGGGGGGAGGGGGTGGCATTCTTACAATGGTCTACAAACAATGGTCTACAAGACTCCTGTCAATTTACTCAGACCACCCTACCCTTGTCCCTAACCCCATACAAAACTTTGATGTCATTACCTAGGCATTATAGACTGGATTGTGCCTTCATCCCATAATTTCATCATGGGTGAAAGCCTTAACTCCCAATGTGACTGTGTTTGGGAGTAAGACCTAAAGGATGTAATTGAGGGTGGCCGGGGGAGGGCCCGGAGGCGGGGGAAGAAGTCGGGTTGGGCCGCGGTGACCGGGCCGTCTCAGGGCGCGGTCCCGCCCCTCCCGTCCGGCCGCCACTGCCGCAGCCGCCGCCGCCGCGGCCTGGGGGTTGGTTGAGGCGGGCGGTGGGGTCCGGACTGGACTGTGGCGCCGCCGCTGCACGAAAGGGAGCGGACAGTCAGAAAATGGGTAAGAAGAGTCGAGTAAAAACTCAGAAATCAGGCACTGGGGCTATAGCCACTGTGTCTCCGAAGGAAATCTTGAACCTGACCAGTGAACTGTTGCAGAAATGCAGCAGTCCTACACCTGGCCCAGGAAAGGAATGGGAAGAGTATGTACAAATCCGATCTCTGGTTGAGAAAATACGGAAAAAGCAGAAAGGTCTGTTACTTTTGATGGAAAAAGAGAAGATTACTTTCCTGATCTAATGAAATGGGCCTCTGAAAATGGGGCTTCTGTCGAAGGTTTTGAAATGGTCAACTTCAAAGAAGAGGGCTTTGGTTTGAGAGCAACAAGAGACATCAAGGCAGAAGAGTTATTTTTATGGGTTCCCCGAAAATTACTAATGACTGTTGAATCTGCTAAAAATTCGGTATTGGGGCCCTTGTATTCTCAAGACCGGATTCTTCAAGCCATGGGAAACATAGCGCTGGCCTTCCAACTCCTGTGTGAGCGAGCCAGCCCCAACTCTTTCTGGCAGCCCTACATTCAGACCCTCCCCAGTGAATATGACACT